TACAAAGCTTATAGATCTTAAGTGAAAAAATGTCATATAACACATAAATATACAAATCATACGTAACTGGTTAACTTAATTTTTAAAATATTTTAAAAAGTTATAGACCGGGACAAAGTATGTGTAAGTCAAGTACCACCATGGAACAATATTAAAATCTACACATACAGAATTAATGGGGGCAGGGGAGATGCCATGCCAAGTATGAGGACTGGAGTGTGGACCTAGCACACACACAAAAAGCTGGGTGGGCATGGCAGCCACCTGTAGTTCCAGCACTCAAGAGGTGGGGACTGATCTCTGGGCAAAGGGGCCGAGGTGGACTAGCTGAATCGGTGAGCTCTGGGGTGAGTGAGACTCTGCCTCAGTTAATAAACTAAGAGTGATCAAAGACAAGACCCAAAGCCCACCTTTGGCCTGTCCTCTATGTATGTGCACACACACACGCACACACACTCACACACACACACACACACACACACACAGACAAAGCGCACGTGCATAAAAAGAGCAAAACCAAACAAGAGAATTAATAAGTTAAAAAAAAAAAGGACAGATATAAACTAGAAACTGGGTAAATGTTATGATTAGGATATTTATAGAAGAAGAAATTTAAATAGCCACAACTTAGAAACAAAGACTTAAAAAATTTTTTTTAAATACTATTTTGCTGGGCATAGTGATACACACCTTTAATCCCAGCCCTCAGTAGGCAGAGGCAGGTGGATCTCTGTGAGTTCCAGGCCAGGTGGGGCTACAGGGAGACCCTGTTTCAAAAAGACCCCCCCACCAAAATACTATTTTATACCCACTAGATTAGCAACAGTTAAGTAATACATTATGTTCCAAGGGTGTGACGAAACAGAAGCATGTTGCCGGCGGGCATAAAAAATGATCTAAAGCTACGTTGGAGAGGGTTGGCAGTAGCTTATCTTCTGGGTGAGATGATTATGGTCTTTGGAGCTAAAAACTTCTGGTTATCTACCCTGGTACAACTCTTTAAAAATCAATTTTAAAAAATTTTCATTTTATGTGTGTTATGCCTGCATGTATGAAAGTGCACCCAAGTCATGCAATGCCTGCAGAGGCCAGAACAGGGAGTCAGATCCTCTGTAACTGGAGTTAGCTGTTGGCCACCATGTGTGTGTCGAGATTCAAACCCAGGCCCTCTGGAAAAGCAACGAGTGCTCTAACCACTGAACCATCTCTTCAGCCCCTACCCTGACATAACTTTTTTTCCCTTTTTTTCTGACATAACTCTTAAATGCTTGTCCTATGAATAAAAATTGTTCCGGGGGACTACTTCAGATAAGTATTATATACTAAGGGAGGAATTCTGGAATACAAGTTATTGTCATTCTGGGACTTGTTGAATTGTTTTTCTTCCTTACCTTCAACAGGAAGTTGGGATGCAAATTCTGAAGGCAGAGTTAAGAGAGCAAAATCTTGAAGTGCAGCAAACCAGAGTGTGCTTAGCGCGCCAAGGTCTGTGCGGACTAAGTCAAGGAGACCGTCAGGTGGATGAGGCCCATTTGTGACACTCTCTTCTGGACAGGTGCTAGTCTTCAAGGTTTGTTTGTGAATTTTATGTCTTTGTACAGCAATTATGTAGACCTGTTAAAAGTTAATTTGTAAGTAGGAAAATCTTGTATCTGGAGTATGATACAATATTCTGATGTCTTCCTACAGACAGATTTTCCTTTGAGCACAGTGAACTTGAAATTTGAAATGCACTGTGCCATCAAGAAGCCATGTATGTGTAACCACCTACACAAAATCGGGGTAAAAAGATTTGTAAAATCATCTCCAGGGGGCTGGAGAGATGGCTCAGCAGTTAACACTGGTTGTTCTTGCAGAAGACCGGAGTTTGAATCCCAGCACCCACATGGCGGCTAACAACTGTCTTTAACTACAGTTCCAGGGGATCTGACAGCCTCTTCTGTCCTCTGTGGGCACTGCACGACATGGGTGCACTTACCTCCATGCAGGCCATACACGTATACACATAAAGTAAAAATAATAAATATTTTAAAAAATCATCTCCAATGACAGCATCAGGGATAATAAATACCTGGTAAATAATACGCTGCCACTGGGTACTTCAACAACCATGACAGCAACAGACAACATACTCCAGGTTATGACCCATGATCCATCCCACCATTTGGCTACAGAAAGCCATTTCTTTTTTTTTTTAATTTTAAAATTATTATTTTTTAAATTTATGTGTGTGAATGTGTTGTCTGCGTGTAAGTACACTCGTGTCGTGCAATGCCTCATGACAGGAGTTCAGAAGATGGCATCAGATCCCCTGGAACTGGAGTTATAGATGGCTATAAGCTGCCATGTGGGTGTTGGGAATCGAACCAGGGTCCTCTGCAAGAGCAGCCAGTACTCTCAACTGCTGAGCCATCTCTCCAGGCCCCAAAATTGATTTATTTTTATTTTATGTATATGTTTTGCCTGCATATATGTATGTGCACCACATGCATCCAATGCCCACAAAGTCAGGAAGAGGGTGTCAGATCCCCCAAAACTGGAATTATGGACAGGTGTTAGCCGCCATGTGGGTGCTGGGAACGAGAGCCCAGGTCCTCTGCAACAGCATCCAGTGCTCTTATCTACTGAGTCATCTCTCTAGCCCCTCTTCTATTATTTAAAATGAGCCAGGGGCTCATATAGACCAGGCTGGCTTGAATTTGCTATGTAGCTGAGGATGACCTATAGACCCTCCCATCTCAACCTCACTTGAACTGGGATAACAGGCTTGTGCAATTACACCCAGCTTTTTGCAGTAGTAGGGATTGAACCCAGGGCTTCATGCATGCTAGACAAGCACTCTACCAACAGAGCCTTATTCCCAGCCCTGAGTGTACACACACACACACACACACACACACACACACACACACACATACACACTCTCACACACTTTCATTAAAATAACATATGAACCAAGATTGGTCAGCCAAGTGTGACAGGTATATGTAAATTATATTATCCCATTATAAACTAAATATAACTTTCTTTCTCATTAGGAAATTAAAGTCAAGCATTTTACTACAAGCTTTTTTTTTTTTGGTATTTTTGAGACAGGGTCTCCCTGTAGCCTCAGCTGTCCTGGAACTCACTCTGTAGACAAGGTTTGCCTTGAACTCACAAGGGATCTGCTTGCCTCTGCCTCCCAAGTGCTGGGATTAAAGGCGTGTGCCACCACACCGTGCTAAGATTTCTTTTTTAAAAATATTTTTATTTTATGTGTATGCGTGTATTGCTTGCATGTTGGTAAGTGCACCTGTGTCAGGCGGAGGACAGAAGAGGCTGTCGGATCCCCTGGGGCTGGAGTTATGGACAGTTGTTAGCTGCCATGTGGGTGCTGGGATTCGAACCCCGGGCTTCTGTAAAAGAACAACCAGTGTTCTTAACCGCTGAGCCATCTCTCCAGCCACAAGAAGATTTCTTCTCTCTCTCTCTCTCTCTCTCTCTCTTTTGGTCTTTTTGAGACAGGGTCTCCCTGTAGCCCCAGCTGTCCTGGAATTCACTATGTAGACCAGGCTGGCCTTGAACTCAGAGATCCGCCTGCCTCTGCAGCACCACGCCTGGCAAGATTTCTTTTTTCTAAGAAAATGATTGCCACTTATTTAAACATCAGTCTATGAAAAGCATTAAAAATATTTAAGTAGAGCCAGCGAACTGGCTCAGTGGTAAAGACACTTGTTGCCAAGCCTGATGACCTGAGCTGGATCCTTGCGACCCACAATCCAGGAGAAGCTGACTCCTTCAAGCTGTCCTCTGACTTCCACAATAAGCTGTTGCATATGTGTACACACACATCCACATTCAGTAAATGAATGTTTAAAAAAAAAAAAAAAACCAAAAGTACACGCAAGCAATACTTATATCCAAGAACTAACTGACTTCAATAAAAGTTGACTTTTGTTGGCTATTATAGAGTCTTCGGTTTATAAGTGCCATTGCTTTACTCTTCAGACTGCTTGTCCAGTGTCAATATATAAATAAATCTCATGTCTGGCCTGTGGCAGAGCCTGCGGTCTGAGCACTTGAGAGGTGGATGCAGGAGTAACACAATTTCAATGCCAGTCTCAGCTACATGAAGAGACCTGCCTCCAAAAGCCAAGGCTAAGGTGTGGCTCAATGGTAGAGTCCTTGCCTAGCATGCCCATCGACCTGGGTTCAATCTTTGGTGTGTGCACATGAATGCAAACAGGCACAAAACAAGCCCCAAAGACTCCCTGCATAATTTTATTTTACAGCCTAAGGTGCTTACTGATAGCTTCCATAATTTTTGAAAGTACCAACCTCTGCCCACGCTTTCAGAACAGCTAAGATCTCCATGGTAGAAGCACTTTCATTATACAGGTGACTTAGAGATTCTTTACCAGCCTGTATTTTTGTTAATGACGAAACAAGCAATTGATGAACTCTTCGGAGATCACTAAGGTCACTTACAACTCCACTTGCTATCCAGGCACTGCAAACCTGGTTTCGAGAAGACCAAAAGTGAGATTTTAGAATTACATATTTCTTCTTTGTGAGTTTAGCAGAGTTCACCCAACTCCCAGGAATCTGGCCACAGAAACCAGCTTGTTGTCAAGAAACCCAATAGAACACAGCTGATGAACAGTCAAAAGTGGACTAAGCTGGCAAGACGATAGTGTCATCTGGTTATGATGGAGAGTGTGAGACGCTGTTAATACAGATAAATGAAGCTATAAATTCATAACCATAAGCGTCTGGATTAACATTTTAATTAACACTCTAATCTTGAGTATTTCATCTCATTATTTAAGACTAAGAGACTGTGTGACTAATGTGACTTAATGAAAAGATAAAGCATCTAACATTTAAAACTCCAATGAAGTTTTTATTTTTCTTGGTGCTGGGAATTTAACCCATAGCCTCACACATGCCAGGAGAGTATTCTATTGAGATATACTCCCAGCCCCCAAGGAAGACTTTGATTCTTTTAATGACAGTCTACTTTTAACTAAAAACAGAACAGACCAGACAACAGTAACAACAAACTATGACTAGCTCTGTACTGCAGGGCCAGACACATGGCTCATGTCAGCAGAGGCAGGAGAAGCAGGAGTTTAAGGACAGGTTTGGCTAGTTTAAGGCCAGCTGGAGTTTAAACTCAAAAACCAAACGGGGAAAACCTGCAATGCCTTATGTTTACTAAATTATCAGAGGCTACTTGTGCTTGTCCAGCTGCTGAGGTATTTCTCTTTCTAGAGAAAATATTTTGCCCCTGTCTGCAAGCAGCTGGCTTGTGACACTAATTCCCAGTGTTCCAACGGCACAAGGGTGATATGCCTCAGAGGAGCTGTATTCCCAGGCTAACATACTCCTGGGATGGGGTGGAGGTGGTGAGCCAGAGCTCCTACTTAGCCACACCACCACCAGGGAAGGCACTTCCGACCTGTGGTGGAATAGGTTGCTGAGGTGCAATGTCTGGCAGTTTCCACAAGTAAATGTCTTTTCTACTTACAATATTTTAGCTTAAGACAGATTTTTTTTGTTTTTGGTCTTTTTGAGACAGGGTCTGACCCCTGTAGCCCCAGCTGGCCCAGAACCCACTATGTAGACCAGGCTGGCCTTGAACTCACAGAGATCTGCCTGCCTCTGCCTCCCGCGTGCTGGTATTAAAGGTGTGTACCACCATGCCCAGCCAAACTTTTAAAAAATATTTTAATTTATTATTTTATTTTATTTATGTTATGTTATGAGTATGATTATACTGTCTGCATGAACATAAGTGCACCCGTGTGGCACAATGCCGCAGAGGCCAGAAGAGGGCATCAGATCCCATGGAACTGGAGTTAGGTGTGTTAGCTGCCACGTGGGTGCTGGGAATTAAACCTGCATTCTCTGCAAGAGCAGTCAGTGCTTTTAACCACTGAGCCATCTCTCCGGCCCCAAGACAGATTTATTGATACATAACCCCACTGTAAGTGCAAAGAGCATCTGCATCTCTATATACCTGTATTTACTGAACTGATTTCATTTCCGAAGATTTTAAGTAGTTTACAGCAAGAACACGTATAATAAAGTGATAAATTAGGGACTCAGTACAACATTAATGGAGTTCCTTTAAGACTTTTATTAATTTTAGTTTATGTGTACGAGTGATTTGCCTGCATGTATGTAAGGGCACATGCATGCAATGCCCACAGAGGCCAGAATAGGGTGTCAGATCTCCTGGAACTGGAGTTACAGATGGTTGCTAGCCACCATGTGGGTGCTTAGGACTTGAACCTAACTTGTACTTAACTGTGGAGCTATCTCTCCAGCCCCAGTTCCCTTAATATTGATGGCACTCAAGTACTTCCTAAATTCAATTGGTAAAAGAAAGGTGAGGTGCTGGGAATGTAGCTCAGTGGTAAGAGCACACACTTAGCATGCGCACCAGGCCTTGTACACACCTGCAGCATCAGAACACCAGAGTTTAGAAACCATGAAAGGAAAAGCTGAAAGAAATGACTAAGATTGGATTCCCCATTATGTTTACTACTAATTTATTCAGGCCAGTCCTGCTTTTAATCACCTGAGGTCACATACAGGGCTAGCTACTGAGTATTAACACCTTATTCCAAGGAAAGCAACTGTTTACAGCTGTGTATCATATTGCTCTTAGGGATATAGAGAAATGTTCAGCTTTGCTTGAAATACCAAACTTCTTTTGAGATACAGTTTTTAGTTCATCAAAATCTAAAAGTATGATAACTCATAATGTTGCTGAGACTATGGGAACAGACATCAGCACACACTGCCAGTATCACACTCTTTGATTCATCAATTCAATTTGGAGAATTTATCCCACAGATGCGTTTGCATTCAATGAAAGGACCTACACAGTATTTGTATAAGAGAAAATAAAAACATACATGTCCATCGACATGGAGCCATTCAGATAAACATGGCATGCTCATGAATTAGGACCCCATGCATCTGTGAAAAAGAAGTAGGAAGACCCCTACAATTTAAAGAGAAGGCTGCCGGGTATGGTGGCGCACACCTTTAATCCCAGCACTCCAGAGGCAGAGGCAGGCAGATCTCTGTGAGTTCAAGGCCAGCCTGGTCTACAAAGTAAGTTTCAGCCCAGCTGGGGCTGCAAGGGAGACCCTAACTCAAAAAAAAAAAGGAAAAAAAAAAGAAAGAAAGAGAGAGAGAGAGAGAGAAGGCTGGGGCTGGAGAGACGGCTCAGCGGTTAAGAGCACTGACTGCTCTTGCAGAGGACCCGGCTACAAACCATTCCAGGGGAAAACTCCAGTTCCAGGGGAATCCGAAGCCCTCTTCTGACCTCCGTGGCATTGCATGACACAGGTGCACTCACATACATGCAGGCAACACAGTCACTAAATAAAATATATTTAAAAAGAGGGCTGGCCAGGCATGGTGGCACACACCTTTAATCCCAGCACTTGGGAGGCAGAGGCAGGTGGATCTCTGTGAGTTCAAGGCCAGCCTGGTCTACATAGTGAGCTCCAGGACAGCTGGGGCTACAGGGAGACCCTATCTTAAAAAGACCAAAAAAAAAAAAAAAAAAAAAAAGAGAGAGAGAAAGCTGTACAGTGAGATGGAGTATTAGACAGCCACGAAGAAGAACCTTGGAACTACTTTTAAAAAATTTGTGCTCAGGGTCACAGTCTGTAGCCTTGCTAGTTGAACTCATGGTAGTCCTCCTGTCTCAGACTCCCAAGGGCTGGGATTACAGGTATGAACAACCATGTCTCACTTCAAAGATCACTTCTTAAGCTTTGACTTACCTGACATGCTTTGGCAGTGACATCAGGCGGTGTGTCTAACGTGAAGGCTGGTCTAAGAGCTGCTCCGACCTGACAGGAATTACACCACTCATCAGACATCAATGAGAAGAACATAGTTCTATCTAATGTGACTATTTGTTACTAATCGGCATGATGGGCTGCCGTGATTTCTCCCTGCTCTGTATCTTTTTTTTAAAGTCAGGATCTCACTATATAAACCTAACTGGCCTGGAACTCACAGACATCCACCTGCCTTTGCCTTGAGTGCTGGGATCAAAAGTGTGCGCCACCTCCTACCCCCGCCCTTTTTAAAAACGATACTGGCACCATGGATTTTCTTTTGATGAAGCATCTCTTCCCAATTCTTAGTCCATGCGGTTGCTTTGGCGCTAACAACACTTGTGTGGCTCCAGGGGTCCACAGGGAGATAACGAAAACACTCAGGACTTCTGCTAAAAAGGCACTACCTCTCTATCTGGACTTCGGTGCTCAGAGGATTATGTTCATGCTTAGAGAAATGCACATACAGTCAGTGTTGAAGGATGCAGGGCCAGTTATGAGATCCTTACAATAATTTTCCTTTCTCTGCCTGATATCCACTTTTGGCACTTGCTTAATTAAGGTGAATTACAGTGTTTATTCTAACATGACAAGTGCGCTTCAGCCTTTCCTTCTGCTGTCTCTCTAAGTGCCCTGGCTCTATCTCCTAGAGAGACGTGGGAGAGGGCCGGCAAGCTGCTGGACTGCTTTCCTTACTTGCCGGTATCACAAGCTGCCTCTCAATCAAGAGAAAGGCAGCTTTCGATGAACAGCGTTGGTGGATTCAAGACAGGCAATGATTGCACTTTGAACCTTGGATTAGTGAAAAACTGGTTAAAAAGATTACAGAACCAGCAGTAGAAATGGATCTTTTCCTAAATCTAAAAGGAAATCATGGCAGTCACACATAACATTCTAGTTTAGGAGTGATGAAGTTAGACCATGCAGCACGAATACTTATTGTTACGTTGCCTATTCAGACGTTTTGTGAAAGACTTTTCTACTAAAGTCCTCTATTCCTGCAAATTTAAAAGGTTTTAATTATGAAAATAAATCCTTAAGGCTATAGAACACCCACTTATGTACCATTTTACTTTCACCTGAAGCTTTGTCAAACACTATTAGATTTTCTGTGCAGTGCTAAAAAGGGCCATGTGTTAGAAGAGACAGCCGTTATGAACCGAGAGGTGAGACCGAAAACACTATTAGATTATTTTCTGTGCAGTGCTACAAAGGGCCATGTGTTAGAAGAGACAGCCGTTATGAACCGAGAGGTGAGACCGCAGTTTCACAGACCTCACCAGTGTTCTTTACTAGGGACATTGGAAAGGTTCTAGCACAAAGCGCTTACATTGGCTTGGTACTGTTCCAGAACCACATGACCTGGAAACTCTGGTTCTGCAGTCGCTGCAAATCGCCGAATGACAACCAACAGTGTTTCAAGGCCAGAAAGACGGAGCTGGTCGCTGTGGTCTGTGGCAGCCATAAAAGCCATGCGAATTAGGTCAGCGAGATGCAGCACCAGGAAGTCGCCTACAAGATTTAAAAATCAAGAAAAAGGTGGTGAGACTAAGATTTACGGTAAGTGGTAATGCTCTCTCCTTTTTATTTCAGAACCTACCCTTTAAAAAATTTTATTTATCTTTATTTTATGTGTACGAGTATATTGCCTGCATGTATGTCAGTGTACCCATGTCATGCAATGCCGTGGAGGTCAGAAGAGGGCATTGGATCCTGGACAGAATTTTAGCCACCATGTGGGTGCTGGGAATTGAACCCAGGTCCTCTGTAAGAACAGCCAGTGCTCTTAACCACTGAGCCATCTCTCCAGTTTAACAAAATCCACAAGCCACATACTGCACACTCAGTTGTTTGAAAGCTGTGGATTTATCCGTCTTAAAGGCTCACATAGTTATGTAGTGATGGTGCTGTCTCAGCAAAAGTCTTTTAGCTTTCATCATAATACAATTTGTCATAGTTGGTATATACTTTCCACATTGTATTTTGTTTTCAGCAACATTTTCAATTAGGCTCAGGGACATTTCTTCCCAGCTTATATATAGAAAAAAACAAAAACTAAAAAAACCCCCCAAAAAACCCCCAAAGAACAAAAGAAATCTTAATCATTAAAAATGCATTTAAACATTACAAAAGTAGTAACCAATGGCTTACATAAGCATTATGAGTGAGCATCCAAACTGATTTGGAATACTAAGAACACTGTTTTATGTCTTTAGCAGTTTATTGAGTTCACTGCAAGAAGGCAGCAGGTCAGTCAGTAAGTAGAGTAAGGTCGCCAATATTACAGTTCTCCTTTAAAGTGAAAACCACTGCAGACAGAGCTCTACTCGTATCACCTGCTCTTCTCATGCCACTTACTTCTTGAATCTCTTTTCTTCCTTTCTTGTGCTAAGGCAATGTCCAAATGTGCCCTGCCCGCACGCTCACACTGGTTAATCACTCTGCAGACACAGTCAGCAGCAAAGACCCGAGTGGCCCATCTCGGGCTGGTGAAAGGGTGGGGTTTCTGGTCGCTTCTGGTGGTCAGAACCGAGGCATCATCGCCTTTACTTCCTTCCTCCTCTTGCGTTGTATCCACACAAGCTACAGCTGTAAAATTGTCATCAAAGAAAACATAAGTAACTGCTATCGATTAGAAGACACAGCTGTAAAAGAACACAGAACGTGACTTCAAATGCAGACTAGAATTACTATGTCAATCACATCCTTTTGTTAGTAACATAATCAGGACTATATTATCTTAAGGAAATGCAACGGGAGCTGCTCCAGGTCAAAAATGACAAACTATATTCAAAGTGAAAAGAAAATATAGTATGAGATACTGGACCCTTGAAATGACTCAGCAGGTAAAAGCACTTACTAAGCAAGCCTGACGATCTGAGTTCAACCCTGGGAACCCACGGTGGAAAGGAGAGAAGCAAATCCTAAAAACTAGCCTTCAGTCTCCACACATGTGCCATGGCATGTGCACAACCCCCACCCCAAATAATAATGATGATAAAAACATCAGCTATCGGGGTGATTGTCAATCACTTGCATGTGAATGGCTATACTTGATGAAATACAAAATTCTCCAACAGACCATGAGTGTGGCACACTGGTGTGGGTGTGTGTATGGAGCTCTGTTCCTAATGGGCTAGAACAACATTTGCATTGAAATATCCAGCAGCTGTGATTGCTCTTGCAGTCACTATTCCACTCAGGATATAACACAGAGTTAAACCCTGCACTGAGGTCCTAGGCTGGGGAACTACTTTCAGAACAACTGAAATTTACCACATCCAAGTCCCAGCTAAACACTTCAAAGAATACAGTCCATACACAAACAACACAAACAAGCAAAAACAAAACCCCCACAAGCAACAAAATAACCCGATGTATAAATACCAGTTCAGTAATACAAGAGACAAGAAAAACCAAGGCAGTTCCTCTAAAAATCACCAATACTATAGAAAACATCCAGTGAGAGCAAGGCAGGTGCGATCTAAGATGCAGAGCTCAAAATACTGACTTCAAGTAGTTCAAAGACATCAAAGAGAAAACAAGCTCCCAATCAAGAGCACAATGGCCTATGAAATAAGGCAGCGGCACAGATACTCAACAAAGAGGTAAAAACACTGAACAAAAACCAATCTCAAATGTGGGAAATGAAAAACATAGTAAAGGGGCTGGAGAGACAGCTCAGCAGTTAGGAACACTGGCTGTTCTGCAGAAGACCAGGGTTCACATCCCAGCACCCACATGGCGGCTAATAACTGTCCTTGACTCCAGTTCCAGGGGATCCAACAGCCTCTTCTGTCCTCTGTGGGCACTGCACGACACGAGTGCACTTACCTACATGCAGGTAATACAAGAATTCACATAAAATAAAAATAATAAAATATTAAAAAAAGAAAAACATAGTAAAATAAAAAGCTCCATGGAAAGTTGCATCACTAAGATGCATCAAGGAGAGGGTGAAATCTGAGCTTGAAGACGAGGTGGAGGAACTAGACCAGCCCAAGAAAGACAAAGACAAAACCACTAGTAATTATGAATGGGACTCTGAGATACATGAGACACTCTGAAAAGACCACATGTGTCAATCATGGGCAAATCAATACATATTGTTCAAAAGCTATAGAAGACATTTTCAGAAGAACCATAAGAAAATTTCCCAGAGCTAAGGAAAGAAATGCCAATCTAGATGCAGGAGGCATTTAGTACTCCAAACAGACAAGACTAGAAGAATCTCCCCTCCCATCACATTGCAATTAAAACCCTAAATAAACAGAACAAAGAAAGTATACTGAAAGCAACAACAGAGAACCAAGTCCCACACAAAGGCAAGTCGTATGTAAGGGCCCATGAAAACAACAGCACACCTGCCGACTGACAGTGTCAAGCTAGAAGGGCCGGAAGCATGTCTGCCAAGTTCTGAAGGACAGTCACTGCCACCCTAGACGTCTATCCTCAGCAAAGCTGTCCGTTGTACTGATGCAGAAACAGAAACTTTCAAATCTAAAAGTAGGCTAAAGGAAACTATGACCACCAAGCCAGCTGTACAGAAGATACTTGAAGGAATCATCTGAATTGAAGAGAGAAGCAAATCCATCCATGAAGCCATACAAAAGAATAAATCATGCTAGAATAGATAAGAGAGAGAAGAGGAAACGGCCCCACACTGCAAAACCAACAAAATGACGGGACTCAGTGCAACCACTGTGGACATCAGTGTGGAGAACGCTTAAAAAAGTGAAATAAATCTACTATATCATCTGGTACTTGACATATACTGAAAGGACTCATCCTACTATAGAGATACCTGCGCAGCCAGGTTTGCGCTGCTTTTTTCACAACAGCTAAAAAATGGAGACAACCTAAGTGTCCCTCAACTGACAAATGGATAATGAAAATGTGGTACCTACTGAGAGGTAAAGAAAAATGAAATTACCGGTAAATAGGTGGAACTAGAGGCTGTTATACTAGTGAATAACACAGAAATCAGGAAGACAAGCAATGGATGTTCTCTTTCATTTGTGGATCTTAGCTCCAACTCTTTAGATATGAGTATATATCCTGATGTAACCACAGGAGCCAGGGAAATGAAGGGAAATGTATGAGTTCAAAAGCCTACTGAAAAATATGCATACCACACGTACACACACACACACACACACACACACACACACACACACACGAATGCATGTGTATAGCTCAAGGCTACATAACACAGTGCCAGGCAGGAGAAAACTCCTTTGAGTTGTTGGTCAGGGTAGTCCAAGAGACTCCAAGAATAACATAGGCTATTGTTGAAGGTCTTGATTGCCCTCAGGAACGTGAAGGTAAGACCCCTTTGCTGAAGATAGGACTTACTTCAGGCCCAGGACTTGGAGTAATAGAACTGGATGGACCTAGAAGCCTCCTCTGTGAAGACTAGCTCTCAGTTATCCGAGAATGTTATGCTATCTGCCAAGGGAGAAACCAATCAATGGTTCTACCTCGCTGTAAACCCTAATAAACACAATTAAACACACTGACTGGTCCAGCAAACTGTCTTTACTGGTGCAGTAGTGGCACTCTTATCTTGGGGACAGTCAATAGCTATCTAAGTGGACTTATGGCCCACTCAATGGGAGGGAACTCCTGTAGTACTGTAAACATAGCCAAATACACATGGCTGGAGTGGTCACAGATCCTAGAGAAAAACCTACTTTTGTCACTTCCCTAGACCAACATAATTTCTTACTGTATTCTAAATACGTATCCTTATATTTACAGAAGTGTACCTCCCACCACTCATCAAAGTTTCTTTTTTGCAACAGATGGAGACACTTAGAGAATTCCACACCTGGTCAAACACAGAGAATAATGTCAATGAATTGTTCAGCCCTAAGTGACACATCTACAATGCAACCTCTATACCAAAGGCTCATGGAACACAGTGGAACAGGGGCATCTCTCCAGCAAAGCCTCCTCATGTAACAGACGGTGATTAACTCAGAAAGCTACAATCGGCCACAGTGCAGAGTGCACAGAGTAAGAGACTGCAGAGAGCTTGTCCCTGGGGAGGACACCTACATCAAACCTCTGCCATCCAGGGCTCAGGGACCATTGTGAAGGAGGGGGCGGAAAACCTGTAAGGGCCAGGGGTGGTGGCTGACACAGGAAACTGGAGTTTTCCAGTCAGTGACAGCACACACAAGACCCCAAGCAAGTTCAAACCAGACAAAACCCAGCATAAAAGGGGGAGATGGGTAAGAAACCCCGACCTTAGCTGAAGAACCACTGGCAAATGATGGCTACTGGGACAGGGAGAGTCGTTTTGTTTTTTTGTCTTTTTGAGGCAGGGTCTCTCTGTAGCCCCAGCTGTCCTGGAACTCACTGTGTAGACCAGGCTGGCCTTGAACTCACAGAGATCCACCTGCCTCTGCCTCCCGAGTGCTGGGATTAAAGGCGTGTGCCACCACGCCTGGCTAGAGTTGTTATTCTTTAAGGGGGTGATGCTGGCTAGTTGACCAGGCTCCAGAGGGTGGACTCACACCAAGGGACATTTGGGGACACAAACTAGGCTCAACAGGCCCTGACATATATGATAGAATGCATGAAATGCGGTGAGAGGGGTGGGCTATGGGAAAGTGCAGATAGGGGAGGACGTCTGAATATAATCCAAGTGTCTACAGAGCCCAGGAAGCCAGAGAGGTCTCATGGGACAGGGGGAGGGGGAGGAGAGACTAGGACACATGAAGACTGAAAGTAGAGGTGGGAGAATATACATATATGTATCATGGAGAATATACATATACATATATTATGAAGACTATACATATATATATCATGGAGCATATAAATATACATATATCATGGAGCATATACATATATCATAGAGAATATACATATGCTATATATATCATGAAGAATATACATCATGGAAATATACATATACATATATTATGGAGAATATACATATACATGGTGAACGCTCTTTTTTAAAAATTTTATTTATTTATTTTTATTTTATGTGTATGCATGTATTGCCTGCATGTAGGTTAAGTGCACCCATGTCGTGCAATGCCTGCAGAGGTCAGAAGAGGCTGTCGGATCCCCTGGGACTGGAGTTATGGATACTTGTTAGGTGCCATGTGGGTGCTGGGATGTGAACCCAGGTCTTCTGCAAGAACAGCCAGTGTTCTTAACCGCTGAGCCATCTCTCCAGCTGTGAATGCTCTTTTTTTGGTCTTTTTGAGACAAGGTCTCCCTGTAGCCCCAACTGGTGTGGAACTTGCTGTGTAGACCAGGCTGGCCTTGAACTCACAGAGATCCACCTGCCTCTGCCTCCCAAGTGCTGGGATTAAAGGCGTGGGCCACCATGCCGGCTGTGAATGCTCTTTTTAATGTGTCCTTGGAAATGAGTTTTACTATTGTACATACATATATGTATATGCATACACACATACACAGTATAGCTACAGTATGAGTAAAGTGTGTGTGTGTGTGTGTGGAGTTTGAATGGAAGTGTCCTGCATAGCTGGATACGTTGTTCCTAGAAGCCATGGGTTATTAAATGAAAATCAGTGTCTCATTTGGATACCTCTCTTTCGAGTTTTCAGTCATGGAGGTCCCAGAAGCAAACAAAATAAAATGTAAATGACAAAATAAAACTGAGTCGGCACCCTCAGGGCACACAACTGTGAATTAAAAAAAAAAGAGCTGGGCATAATGGCGTATGCTTACCATCCTACTCAGGATGTAGAGGCAGAAGGAGCAGGAAAAAAAAATTAAATAAGACAGATACTAGAAAAATCTAATCAGTCTAACTATATATTAAACTTTTTTTAAAGTTTTCATTTTGTTTTGGAGACAGCATCTCCCTGTAGCCTCAACTGCCCTGGAACTTTCCGTGTAGACCAGGCTGGCCTCAATCTCACGGAGATCTGCCTGACTCTGTCTCCCAAGTGTTGGGACTAAAGGTGTGTGCCACCACATCCAGCTATGTTTTTCTTTTTTAAAAAATATGTATGTTTTCCTTGCATGTAAGTGCACCTGTGCGTGAAATGCCCGCAAAGGCCTGAAGAGGGCACCAGATCCCTTGAGACTGTGCTCTTAACCTCTGAGTCATCTCTCCATCACCCCCAAACTTTCTAAGTTTTCTGAGATGAGGTCTCATGTATCCCAGGCTGATGATGAATTTGCTATGTAACTGAAGATAATATTGAACTTCCTACTTCTACAGGGTACAGGCGAATTGTTTTTGGATGGATGGATGGATGGATGGATGGATGGATGGATGGATGCATGGATGGATGGATAGAATGATTGATTCCTGGGGTCTGAACATAAGGTCTTGAAAATGTCAGGCAAATGCTCTATCACTGAACTATATCCCAGCTAGAGGTCCATTTTCTTTGAAAGGAGAGGGCTTCACTAAGTCTTGAGTAGTACACAGTTGTAGACAGAAGAGCATTACAGAAAGAAACAGCAGAGCCTGGTTTAAGAAGCTGGTGTAGACCGCTGGAAAGGAGGAGGACCACTAAGAAGTCAAAGTAGACAAAATGAAATAAAACACTAGGAAGCGCACAGGACTTACACCACAGACACAAATAAATCTAGAGCTACTGAAACTTTATTTATTTATTTATTTATTTATTTATTTGTTATTTTTTAAGTTAGGGTCTCACTATACAGCACTGGCTGGCCTGGAACTCATTAAGTAGACCAGGCTAACTTTAAACTCACAGAGATCTGGCTGTTTCTACCTCCCCAGTGCTGGAATTAAAGGCAAAGTCCATGGATCTTAAAGTTAAGCAGAATTAAGACTTGAATCTGTCTTTAGGTAAGCTACTCCTCTCGCCAAGCCTGATGTCTCTTCTGTAAAATGGAATAATACTGTCTATTCATAGGATGGGTTAAGGGATTAAGTCTGATGAAACATTCTTTGCCTGAAATGAAATTAGTTTCTATATTTTGTCTTCCTCTGACTTATTTTCTCTTAAATTAAGGATATACATTTTAGGACCTCAAAAACACAATCTTACTAACCATTACCTTGTATTAGGTAAACACACTAGGCAAATAATATAATTTTTTAATAACCTTTAATTCATTTTGTTTGTTTGAGCTAGTCTCATGTAGCCCAGGCTGGCACTGAACTCATTATGTAGTTGAGACTTGAGACTGGTTTGAACTCCAGATCTGCCTGCCTGTACCTCTCACATGCTGGGATCACAGGCATGCACCACCACGTTGGTCATCTAACACTATTTGAAATTAACATTATTAAGTGTGGAATGACCAGACTGCTCCAAAATCAACTTTTGGGGTACTGATATTAGTTTAGTGCATAGCACTTGCCTAGGATGTACAAGGCCTTCAGTGCCACAAAATGTCAGTTAAGGTAAGTTTTCTTTTATGCCAATTTGTAGCAATCTCTCAAACATTTATTATACATGTGAAGAAATGGAGTAACTAAATTATACATTTTATAGCATGAATAACTACCTTTTAATGGGTTTGCTACAGAAGAGCTGGGTGTGGTGGTACACTCCTGTAACCCACTTGGGAGGTGGAGGCAGATGAGTATTTCAAGGTCATTCTGAGTGGCTCCCCAGTCAGTTCAGGCCCTAGTGTACCTGAGACCATGTTTCAAAAATCAAGACAGGAGAGGGCTCTTGCAGAGGACCCAGGTCTGGTTCTCAGTACCCACATAGTGTCTAACAACCATTTGTAATTCCAGTTCCAGGGAATCTGATGCCCTATCTGGCTGCCATGGGCACTGCATACATGCACACTTACACACTCACACATAAAATCTTAAAAAAAAAAAAATCAGCCTCAGTGTTAGATTTATACTGTTCAAAATTAAAGAGAATTTGAAGACACTAGAAGTAGACTCTTCATTTGAAGAGAGCAGTGACTACACAGTTACAATTCAGGCAAACATTACTACAGAGTTGTCCATGGCAAACAATTTCAAACCAGATTTTCCCTTTCAATTTTACCATTTCAACTGGCAATTCCCTTACTTACCAGCTGACGCAGCAAGCACATCTTTACAAAGCTTTAGCCAAAGGGAAAGCTTTTGCACGGCCACAGATGTGAGCATGTGGTTTAGAGTCTCTCTGATGTCACGGCATAGATTCTGATCTGTCTCTCTGTCTAGTAAGATCAGCAATGCCCCTTCAAGGCCCACTTCTCTGATGTCAGCGTCTGACGAGAAGAAACAGAACGAAGCTGCCATAGGAGAGGTATCACGTCAATGTACTTTAAAGGCTTAGCCCAAGCACTGTGCCTCGATCTACTGCAGTTGATCTAAATTCACAGTTGACCTTTAGGATTATTTATGACCCTGTACAGTCATTTAAAAAATGCAACATTGGGGGCTGGAGAGATGGCTCAGCAGTTAAGAACACTGACTATTCTTGCAGAAAACCCGGATTTGAATCCCAGCACCCACATGGCAGCTAACAACTGTCCGTAACTCCAGTTCCAGGGGATCTGACAGCCTCTT